AGGATGATAAAGGGACTGGAGCATCTCCCCTACAAGGAAAGGCTGAGAGAGTTGGGCTTGTTTAGCCTGAAGAAGAGAAGACTGAGAGGGGACCTCATCAACACATACAAATATCTCAAGGGTGGATGTCATGAGGACAGAGCCAGACTCTTCTCAGTGGTGCCCAGCGACAGGACAAGGGGCAATGGGTACAAACTGAGACATAAGAGGTTTCAGTTGAATATGAGGAAAAACTTCTTTACTCTGAGGGTGATGGAGCACTGGAACAGGCTGCCCAGGGGGGTTGTGGAGTCTCCTTCTCTGGAGATATTCAAAGTCTGCCTGGATGAAGTCCTGTGTAACATGCTCTAGGAGAACCTGCTTTAGCAAGGGGGTTGGACTAGATGATCTCCCGAGGCCCCTTCCAACCCTTGTGATTCTGTGATTGTGTGATACACAGAATAAGCAACCAAATTCTATGTTTTACTGTCCAATATCATAAATATGTGATTGTGTATTAAAGTCATATTGTTGCAAACTTGCCTATCAGAATATTCCTTACAAATCCAGAAAAATGCTTTTTGCATCATACTTTGTGACATTTTCAGGCTTGAATTAATTATTATCTTTCCTGAACTGGAAGTAATGTGGGGACTCGATTGTGGCATTTAAGCACAACCCATTACAAGAGATAATGCCAAGCAGCTGTGATTCTGCCTGGCCTTGGAGAGAAGCAAACACTGTGCATGCAGAATGGGGGCATAGAGATGGGCTGTGTCCTTGGAGGCAGGTCTCTGTCTCCAGGATGCTCTGCTGTCTGCAGAGAGTGTGCAGGGAAGGACCTGACTGCTTTCCTGGTGCAGTGTTTAGCTCTGATTGCTCTGTGTGTACTGTGCCTGTCCTCAGCCAGGCATGCAGTAGCTTTCAGATGAGGAATGGGACTATTGCAGGCTGAAGTGAGAAATCAAGAGCCAAACTCTGCTTTGTTTAATGCAGTCAGGTGGAAATGTGCTGTTAGAACCATCTGCTGTTGCTTACCATTTTGGTTTCAGTACTCTTGTCCAGTTCTAATCTCTCAGTGGTTTGCTGAAGCATAGGAATTAAATAGAGAAAGTGGGTCTCCCTCACCCACACACAGGTCTTTCCCACAGCCCAAAATGAACAAAGAAAATCTCTGGGTGTATGTTGGGTGGAAGGCACAGATGGGGTTTGAACCCCTGATCTTCATTTTATGGACTGTCCTCTGCATGGGAGAAAGAAGGAGCAAGGAGGGGACGTTGGGAGCAATGGTGTTTGTCTGCCCAAGTCACCGTTAGGCATGGTGGGACCTGCCTGTCCTGGGGGTGGCTGAGCACCTGCCTGCCACGGGAGGTAGTGAATGAGTTCCTTATTTTGCTTTGCTTGCACGCACGGCTTTTGCTTCTGCTATTGAACTGCCTTTACCTCAAGCTACGAGCTTTCTCACTTTTACCCTTCCAACCCTCCTCCCCAGGCAGGAGTCAGCGCGTGGCTGGGTCGGGCTAAGCTGCCGGCCGGGGCTAAAGCACAACAGTGTCTCTGTCCTGTGTTTAGACTAGGAGTGCTTCAGACAGGAGCCTTCTGCTGGGATTTGCACAGCTCATAGCCCAGCGTAGCCATGTCTGTAACCATCACACAGGTTTCACTCTGTCAAGCCAAGCTGGAATACTGGGGCTTTGGTCTCCCCTGTCTCCCGAGCAAAGCCAGAAATAGTTATGTTATCCAGCTCCTACAGAACATAAAGGAAGCTTGTCAGTAAACAGTCGTGTCCTGCTGCGTGGGCCTTGAACTAGCCCTGGTGAAAAAGGTGACCAGCAGAGGACACTTGGGCTGCAAGTGTCCATGTTTCCCAAAGTGCACCTACCTGGAGGGAGCTCTGCTTTGATGGCCCTGTGCCAGAAGGATGTGGACTGCACAGGCAGGCATTTATAGATGCGTCTGTTGTACTTCCCAGTGGAATAATTACCTAGGGCAGAGGAGAATAGCACAGCAACAGTGAAGTTCTGGCCTTTTTCTGAAGCTGAGGAGGCAATTTCACCAGGAGATGGCTCTCCTTAGCAGCTGCAGACAGATGGAAACATCTGCAGCTCTTTCAAGGGGTGAGCTGATTGCTTTAAACCTGCTCATGCAGGGCAAAAAGGAAGCATGCTTGTCTTGTGCGAATGAATGACTGGAGCAATGTTACATGGTCCAGGTGCCGTCTTGGTGTTTCTCTGGGGAAGTCAGCAGATGGGATATGCTCAGGGAGATATGCTGGAGCCACATTCTTCCCATTCCTGATCATGGAGGGCTCCACACAGTCATCAGGACCCAGAGAGCAGATGTCTTCTGTGGGAGGTTTTGCCCCTTCAACTTGTGTAAGTGGGGGCTTTGGTTTTGGTGGTATTGTGATTCAGGTAAGCTAGAAAGAAAAGCACGTAAGAGCGCACTGGCATGCAGCTGTGTATTTAAAGCTCCTTTATAACTGAAGGAGTTTGAGTTTCCAGCCTCATGAAATTCCTTTCATGAGGAATTCCCCTTGGACTTTTTCCTCCAAGAATAAAGCACACAAGTTATACAGCACCTTGTAGAGCC